ACAAGGTCTCTCTATAAAGGACAATGTACCGCATGATATGTATTGCTTATATTTGTTATTGTTGTTGTTGTTAAGTGCCGTGGAGTCAGTTCCAATCCATAAGGACCCTGTATAGGGTTTCCAAAGAGCAGCTGGTGAGATTCAACTGTTCATTTTGTGGTTCAAATCGACTTTGCAGTCCAGTGCATTAACATGTAGCACCACACCAGGCCATAAAAAGTTATAAAAACATTGTAGGATATTTAAGATTTCTCTAGGAACTTTCACCCAAAGACCAATCAATCTCTTAACCAGATAGATTGACACAGTGGCAGCAATAACAGATGCAAACATATCAACAATTGTGAGGATGGTGAGGATGGTGCAGGCAGTGTTTTGTTCTATACAAAGGTCACTATGAGTGGACACCTAACAACAGCAACTGGTCATGTTACATTTGGAAACATCCAGTATTGATTCTTCAAAAAATATTGGGCAAAATAACATTCTTCTTTTAGAAGAATAGATGGAGTTATTTAATACTTATCTCTGATTGACAGGTTGCTTTTGATGCTTATAAAAGCAAATTCCTGAGTGATATCGCATTGGATGACATTAGTCTAACATATGGTATTTGCAATGTGAGTCTTTACCCAGAACCAACTTTAGTCCCAACTGCTCCACCAGAACGTCCCAGTAAGTACCTGTAAAGTGTGCTTTCCTTTGTGGAGACATTAGTATTTTCATATATGTTTTGGTTTTGCTTGATTTTTATTAGTTCAGAAAATGTTTTTCACTAAAAGCAGAGGCTTTAAAATATAAGTAAAATTGTTTTTGTTGTAAAGTGCCATCAAGTCGGTTCTAACTCACAGCGATCCTATATAGAGTTTATGAGACTTTGAGTCTTGTTGGGAACCCAAAGCCTCATCTTTTTCCTATCTAGCAACTAGTGGGCTGAAGTCCAGGAAAAAATTACATGTCCTAAATAAACCAACAATGAAAGTTACTTAATATTTTGTTATGGCTCATATTTATCCTTTGCTTTTTGAAAGTAATAGACTGTTTTCCATTGTGTTTTTACTAGAACACAAATTAGTGCTGTGTTGGCCATTTAACATGAGCCAGTAGC